AAGCTTTTGTGCTTGTGTCACTCTGTCTCCCATGCGTGGAACAAGGTTACCCCTTATTCTTAGCATCATCTGCATCATCATCTTGTTTTTAAGTAGAAAGTGCTGCTGTTGAAATGCACGGTTCAGCAACACCTCTAGCTTGGCATGAGGGCTGCCATGTGGCCCAGTGCTTCTCCTGCAAGCCAACACAGGAGCCATGTGCTTCAGCTAATGTCAATGGGGGAGCTCACTGTGTGCTTCCCAAGTTTTATGTCTCCACAGACTGAGAATGGCAACTGTTCTTACATCCCTAAGGAAGTAAACGTATTCCAGAAGCCTCCTTTCTGGGACTTCTGTCTAACTCCAGAACTCATGGCTATAACATTTGGTCAGGATGATTTTGGATTTCCCCATTTCTCTCCTTGTTCCAAGTATTGTCCAGTTTGATGGAGATATATATGTGAACCCTGTCTATCAAACTGGACAGTATTTGGACACTAATATATATATTAGCGATTAGTGTCAGTACTGGACACTAGTATATATATTAGTGACCTACACGGCACAATAGTTTGAGCATTAGATTACAACTCTGGAGACCTGAGTTCAGTTCCCAGCTCAGCCATAAAACTCACTGGGTGACCTTGGGCAAGTCACATGCTCTCAACCTCAGGGGAAGGCAATAACAAATCCCCTCCAAACAAATCTTGCCAAGAAAACCCCATTATAGGTTTGCCTAAGAGTCACCATATGTCAGAAATAATGCGAAGGCACACAACAACAATTGACATAACACAGGCATTTTCCTGATTTGGCATTTCATTTTATTCACGAGCCACACATCTCTGTTTTTCAAAATTATTATTATTATTCAACAGTTAGGTTTAAAAAAAAACAACTAAAAAAAACCAGGCCTGATACAAAATATTTCCCATCTTTGAGGATGGTCCTAGACCTCAGTGGTAGGATACACATTTGACACACATACCATCCCAGTTTCAACCTGGGCATTGGTGGCAGGTGAGCCACTCTCTGTCAGGGAAGACTGTTCTGGACTAAATATACTCATGGTTCATGTCAATCTAAGGCAGGAAAATTAACAAGATACAGCCATCTCTCCCAGGAGCATCACAGGATGTATCCAGCAAATTCAATGGAACTGAATTTGCATTAAGCAAATTTACAGTATAAATATGAGACCATGTCCAGTGTGCATCTACATCCACATTAGCTGCTTGTGCAGAAGCCAAAGTAGACTGAAGCTCGCAAAAGCTTATGCTCCAATAAATATGTTAGGGTTTAAAGTTTTGCATTGTTTTTTCTGTACGTGTTTCCCTACCTTGATATACCAAAGCAAACAGCGTCTCCAACGATAAGCAGGAGCCAGCATGGGTGAAAAACCGGCACCCTTAGACATACAAAAAAAGGAGTCCTGAATCCAAAACCTTAACATGTTAATACAGAGCACGACTCAACTCAATTATTGCACTGCTTGATATTGTACCTTAAGACAAGCAAAATGATAAACTGGATATAATTTGGATAACTACAATCAAGGTGAAGAAGGGCTTTCTTTGTCTTAGGGCTTACTTTATTATGATAATGCTTATTTCAATTTCTTTACCATCTTACACTTAAGAAAGAGGAAGTTCCAGTATATCCTTCCTTTATTGTCACGGGAATTAATTTCCATGTAAGCATGAGCAGGACTCTGCTATGAGGCAAAATGACTTGCTAAAGGTGATGACTGGCATTTCATGGTCTGACCTTGGTTCAGGTATAAACCTGATACCCTGACTAATCTGGTTTGTGTCCTACCTCTTCCCCAAAACTGAGGTGCAAGGCAATTCAGAAAAATAAAATAAAACAAACATTTTGAACAGACAATTCAACATGCTATAATATTAAAGCCCAACTGCACTAAGAAACAATTTATAAGGACACAAGTAAAAAGTACAGCATCCATCATTAAAAGCTCCTTTATCAGCCAGTCAATTGCCCAAAGCCTCCTGAAATTCAAAAGGAAACTAGTGTCATGAACTGGCTAACTTCAGTTCAGAAACACAAGCCTCAGCATAGTCAAAAACTTTATTCGGAAAACGAAACTGATCACAGCATCACAAAGTTGTGAGGACTGCAGCCTTTTTGGTTACACAGTATAATTGCATAGCAATTAACATGTTTTTCACGGGACCACGTTCCATTAGTCTGCACCCCAAAACATCCTGTCTTCTCAGGACTTACTCCTCCCTCATGCCAGAATTCAGCTTCCCATCAGAAGGACCTTGGTCTCTTGACGCTCATGGTTCCTCCCCACCCATCTGCTCATTGTCGCAGGCTGTGAATTATACACAATTTTTCTTCCCCAGCCTCCCTGGCTGCACAGCAAATCCCCACCATCCTTCATCGCTACACATAAGTCCCAGCATGGCCTATAAGCATGGCAGAGATCATTTCTGGGCCATGATCCTGACATCTGGCTATCTTTCCTTGGAAAAGAGTTGCACAGCCTGGGAGCAGCCCCAAGAAGGCCATCTTTTGTGCCCCCATCAAAGGTGCCTCTGAGGATGCCAGGACCAAAGAAAGGGACCCCCCTAATGATCTTACATTCTGGGCAAGGTCACATAAGTGGAATATGAGCTGGTTTGGCATCCGGTTAATCAGTTATAATGTCATAAATCAAACTTAGGACATCATAGCTGCTCTGTAGTCTCATACAGACACTCTTGCCACACCTGCCAATGAATGTGAAACCCACATTAAAAGCCAGTCAGCTGCACGTAGAATCATAGAGTTGGAAGAGACCCCAAGGGCCATCCAGTCCAACCCCCTGCCATGCAGGAAATCCCAATCAAAGCATCCCCGACAGATGGCCATCCAGCCTCTGCTTAAAGACCTCCAAGGAAGGAGACTCCACTACACTCCGAGCAATGGAGGTCTGTGCTACGGCCAAGCGAGGTGGAACAGGATGCCACGACTAGCCTCCATAACTAGCAAGCCACCCTGTGGACTCAAGCCATATCAGAGTCCACTTTGGTTTAGAAAAAGAGGGCTCATGCAATTATATGTCATTATTCTGCCTCTTTAAAACACTAGTTTTGGTTGATCTGTATCAGGGTGAATCCAAGGAGAGCAGTTACTGAAACTTCATCAGTGTAAACCTATACAACATGAAGCCAATTCCTATATAGCTAGGGCTTCGGAGCTAGATGTTGTGTGACTGTTAAGAGCTTTAACAGCAGTTTCAAAATAGCATCTGGGTTGTGCCCATGCACACTGAACTAGCACCTTGTGTAAGATAAGGTTTGATCCAATCCCTGGAGATTTCCTAGTGGTTGAGGAATTAAAAGTTTGCAGATCAAACATCATCATGTACAAACAGGCCGTGGGTAGGTGCTCAACTCATATTTACACTATAGATTTGAACTACTTTAACAGCAATTACCTCCAAGGAACCAATGGTTGTTTTTTTTAACAGGGGTGGTTGAGGGAGAACTAGGAAACAGTATCTTTATCGTCTCAGTGAACTACAATGCCTAGGCTTTGGCAGGAAGAGATTAATAATGGTTATGGTGATACATAATGATTACCGTGATGTAACATGCCTTCAGATACAGTAGATGAAAATAATCAGTGAGGGAAGGTTCATGATAACAGCCTTCACAAACATAAGCGATTGTTATAAGCTTAATAACATGCATCGAAATCTGCTTATGAAAAGAATAACTTTTCATAAGAATAACTTTGCATTCTATAAGTAAAAATAAGAAAGCAACAGGATGAGCTTCACATAGGAAGCTGCAAAGGGATTGGATTAAAATCTGCCAAGGACAGAATGGTTGCAAAAGTTCCTTCATCAGATTTAAGACAGTTTCCTAATGTTCGTCAAGTAGGGCGAATTGAAATTATTCATTTGTTTATTGTTTTAAAGTGACACCTAATGATGGAGGAAGAAAAATAGCATCCCTCAAGGATCGGCCTCCTCAATAAATTGTGCTTTTGGAAGATGAGCCCTAAGTGTTGTTTTATGGTATCAGCCCATTAGGATTTAACTTACAACCTTTAACTTTTGGTTCATAAAAGTCTTGGGGGACAGAACTAATTTTTATGCACCTTGATAGGAACTTCCATGCCTATTTTCTAAGACCAAAAGGACCAGCGCTGTACAGAATGCTGTGTAACTAATGTCGCATATGCAGGAAATATGAAAAGCTTCCTTCTGCTTTCAGTATGGTGGAACCTGCAGTCCAAAAAAGGTGCTGATGATCCTGGTCCATGGGTAAGCAGTGCCTAAACCAAGCCAACTTTAATAAGAGTACATGGAAGTTAGGCCAACCTGAAAGCAAAAAATGAGATCTGGCACCATGGCCTGCACTGTGCACTTGATGATGACAGATTGATGATGACAGAGCTACGTTGCTGATATGGTACGCAGCCATTTTAGAGAACTGCAATGGTGAGCAACTAAACTTTGTCCAAGATTACAGCAGCTCTGACCCCGTAACAGTGGACAGCACAAGATGTCCCATTGCACAGTGGGGACTTCCGCCCCACAAAGGAGCACAGTGAAAAGTGGGAGCATTTTTCCAGGCAGGCGCAGGGCACCTATAAGTCTCTTCTGCCCTTTGTTCTGGATTACCAGTGCCCTGTAATACTGTTGGGAGCCCTTACTTGGGCTGTCATTATGAAAGGGCAACTGGTGAGGCAAAGCACCACAGAATGGCGTATCATCACCACTGCACAATGCCCATGCTGCTCTACTTGTGAAATGGTTCCTATGGCACAATTATGACAACACTCTCCTCCGGGTAATATGGCTGTTGCGTGATACCACATTTCTGGACTACACAGAAATTGTTTGTTGTTGTTGTTGTTGTTGTTGTGTGCCTCTGAGTCATTTTTGACTTATGGTGAATCTATCATAGGGTTTTCTTGGCAAATTTCTTCAGAGGGGGTTTGCCATAGCCATTCTCTGAAGCAGAGAGAATGTGACTTGCCCAAGGTCACCCAGAGGGTTTTGATGCTTGAGCAGGAATTTGAACCCTGATCTTCGGAGTCATAGTCCAACACTCAAACCACTACACCATGCTGGTTCTCAAGTTAGTTTATGGCAGTGGTTCTTAACCTTGTTGGAGGTACTGACCCCCACCAGTT